AAAAATGATTTGTTTATATTTATACTTATCGCCTTGAATTACATTGCATATAAAATGAAAAAATTCGTGTGTAATTTATAAAAAAGACTATGTATATAATAAATATGCCAATAAAGCATATTAAGATATACATTTACACAAAAAAAGAAACATTTTTTTTTTTTTGGAGCAAGATTTCTATTTAATTTTTGCCCCGGATTTTTTTTTTGGTGTTAGGGCAGGGGTATAGATGGGGTGCAAGAGCGAATGATTTTCTAGTTTTTCGTCGGTATAACAATCTTGTACTTAGTTATAAATTTATAATGTTTTGTCGATCATCATCATCATCATTATCATTTTTTTTTTTGCTTTTAAATTTTAACTACAAACTCGTAATAGACTTTCCCATGAAGCAAACTCATACTTATAAATTAATATTTAATATCGTGAAATCTTTTCTTTTTCGAAGTATCATTATAGCATTTTTTTTTTTTTTTTTTTCTCTTTTTTTTATTCTTGAACACCGCGATTCTTTACAATCGGAAACAGGGTTTCATTTTCTCTCTCAGACTCTCTGTTCTTTCTTTCATTCTTTTTGTTTTCTCGTTCAATCTCTAAATATATTGGGGCTGAGGGGCGAAAAAAAGATATATTCGCACTTTTTATATCCAAATCACTTATCTTTACACAGAAAAAAAACTTAAATTACTCAAAATACTCTCATTTTTTTCCCTTTTATTTTCCAAACGTGAAAACTTCTGTTTTTTTAAATCGTCGAAAAAAAGATTCCATTTAGAAAAATGCACTCGTTACTTAAAAATCTCTCTAAAAAAAAAGAAAATTTGAATAGCAAAATTTCAACATGAAATTCAAATTCAAAAATATTTTTTTGGAATTTAGATAGTAGTACTTTTTTTCAATAAAGTACTGCGATTTTTAAATTTGAATTTATTGAAATTCAGCGAAGAGACCAAAACTTGTAAAACAATAAAAAAAAGTTTACAAAAATTGGCCTGATATGAATAGATTCTGAAATAACTTATCAATGACTACATTTAGCAAAATTCTAATAAAGATTTAAAAAATAAAAAATAAAATAAAAATTTCCCGCATCCAAACATCGTCGAAATTTGCTAAATGTCTCGTAAATATACATATACACTCTATGAATAAAAATTCTCGACAAACAAAAAGAAAGGAGAAAAAACTATAAAAAAAATAATAATTAGAAGACTTTCTCAGACAAGTAAAATTAATAAAAAGATAAAATATGTTTATACACTTGAATTAAGCTTGTTATAAAGTAAGAATCTTTTCTAAATATATATGTATATAATATGTGGCTAAAATCAATATGCGGGGCACCACCTGCTTGATTTTTTTTTTTTTTTTTGATACCTTTACGATAAAAAAAAATCATCAAGGTATCATTTCAATTTAACGGTGCAAATATAATTAGCAGTTTAGATAACAAACTGTTCTCTAAATATTTATTCGAATTCACCTTAGATCTGCAGAATTATTTTTTTCTTTTTCAAATTTGTATTTAATTAAAAAGAGAAGAAAAAGTCAATTCGCGCAATAAACGAGAAAGAAAATTGCGGTAAATCACGCGAATTTTTTTTTATTGCAAAACTTAAAAAAAAAGAAATTTCTTTTAGAAAAAAATTTTTTTTTAGAAAAGAAATTTTTCTTTTGTATCAATGATTAAAAAAAGAACTGCAGATCAAAGACTCGACGAATCGTTGATTTTACAAATATTGCTCGATTTTTCAGTGATCATTTCCTTTTTTTCATAAATGATCCTTTTACTCGATTATTATTATTTTTTTTTAATATCTCTGTTTCACAGAACACTTATAAACCCCAAGACATATATATTTGTACATAGTTATCATAATCAATGGGAAATTGTATGTTTAAGCCCAATTGAATCTCATTACGATTCACTTACAACATCAAAAATAGACTATTACAAGAGTGCATTTTATAGTACAGAATACACCCTGTCGATCGTCTTTTTCTATTTTAGTGTTTTGTTTACTTTTTTCCTTTACTCTTTTTCTTTACTTTTATTCTCTTTCCTTATACTGTTTTCCCTCTTTAAAATCATTTTAGCTCTTTTTTTTTTTTTTTTTTCTTTAGACACATCTTTTTTTTATATTTAATTTTTATTGAAATAGTCTGAGCCGTAGTCGATATGTACATAACAGTATATCAATCATTATGATTAAATTAATTTCGTATCTTCTCTCAAAAATGATTATATTTATCAAAAAAAAAAAAGATTTTTGATAAAATTTAGTGGAAAAAATTGCAAAAAATTTTTAAAAAAATAAAATTTATTGTAATTTAATTCATTTTTATATTGTTGCTATATTAATTATTAATTAATTATCAATCTTCAATTTAATATATTTAATCATGAGATTAGATATCAAAGAACTCGTATTTTTCACTTTGAAAAGTTTTTAATACTTTTAATGAGAAAACAGTTTTATAAAAGCCATTCGTTTTATGAAACTAAGTTTGAAAATTAGTATCAAAACTAATAAATTAATAAATTAGTTTCGAAACCAATAAATTAGTAAATTAATTTCGAAACTAATAAATTAGTAAATTAGTTTCAAAATTAATATTTTAGTAAATTAGTTTTAAAACTAATGAATTTTATGAAAATGTTTTCAAATTATCAGTGAATTGAAATTTGTATTTTTTTCATAATTTTGAATTAATATTCTAACTAAATAGATTTCTATTTAGTTTTCAACACTTTTAACAAAATAAAATGTTTTTAATTGATTGCAAATATTTTAACTAAATAAAATATTTTAATTGATTGCAAATATTTTAACTAAATAAAATATTTTAATTGATTGGAAATATTTTAATTGAATGTAAATATTTTAACTAAATGAAAATATTTTTTTACTCAATTTTTTTTACCAAAATGTACAATTTCTCTAAAAGCGAATAATTACGAAAATTTTTATTCAAGCAAATTCTTTTGGAAGAATTTTTATTTAACCGAATTTTCATTTAGCCCAATTCTCAGTTAGTAAAATTTTTAAAGAGCTAAATTTTTTATTTACAATTAGTAGAATTTTCATCAAATTTTTTTTCATTTTCTCTAATTTTCATTAGTTTTTTTTTATTTTCTATAATTTTCCTTAAATTTTTTTTTCATTTTTTATAATTGTCATTCATTTTTTTTTTCATTTTCAATTTCTGTAATTTTCATTGAATACGAAACGAAAATGAAATATATTTGAACATTTCTGGAAATAAAAGGACGAATAGTTCTTTCATTTCCAGAAAATCATCAAAAAATTCTAATCAATTGAATAATTTAGAAAATAAAGGGAAATTTTTTTAAATTAAAAATAAAGAAATATAAATTTTCTGGAATAAAAATTCTAACGCAAAGAACACAATTCTTCTAAATAGAGAATATTTACGAAAATTGTTATTTAACCAAATTCTTTAAGCAGAATTTTCATTTAATCAAATTTTCATTGAGCCAAATTCACAGTAAAATTTTTAATGAACTGGATTTTTTCATTATTTCATGTTTACTTAAAGAAATTTTTATTTTTCTTATTTTTTATTTGGTACAATTTTTATCTTATTTTTCATTTGGTAGAATTTTTAATTTTCTTATTTTTCATTTGGAAGAATTTTTACTTTTTTTGGTTTGGTAGAATTTTTCTTTTTTCTGTTTTTTATTCAGTAAATTTTTTATTTTTCTTACTTTTCATATGGTAGAATTTTTCGTTTTCTTATTTTTTTATTCGGTAGAATTTTTATTCGAGAAAATTTTCATTAATTTTTTTCTATTTTCAATTTCTGTAATTTTTATTAATTTTTTCTATTTTCAATTTCGGTAACTTTCATTAATTATTTTATTTTCAATTTCTTTAATTTTTTTTTATTTTAAATTTCTGTAATTTTCATTAATTTTTTTTATTTTCTATTTCTGTAATTTTTATTTAATCCGTTCTTTTATTTTCAGATAAGAATCTAGTTGAGAAATAATCAAAAATTACAATCAACTGAATAATTCTGAAAATAAAGGAAATGTCTTTAAATAGGAAATAAAAAAATACAAATTTTTTTTAATAAAAATTCTACCGAATGAAAAATAAAAAAATCAAAATTCTACCACAAAGTACAATTTTTCTACAAATGGCGAATATTTATCAAAATTTTTATTTAATTCCTTAAAGAGAATTTTTATTTAACCGAAAAAAAATTCTAATTTTAAAAAAGGAATTGAATTTTTCATTCAGTAGAATTTTCATTTTACTATTTTCTTATTTTCTGTATTTTTCATTTATTCTTTCTTTCATTTTCCAGAAAATAATCAAGTTGAATAATAATCAAAAATTATAATCAATTGAATAATTCTAGAAAAAAAAATGTTTTTAAATAAAAAATAGAGAAACTGAAATTTTCTCTAATAAAAAAGTTCTACCGAACAAAAAAATAAAAAGAAAAATTCTACCAAAAAATAAGAAAAATATAAATTATACAAAAAGAGGGGAAAAAATAAGAAATGCGAAAATTCGACTAAATAAAATAGAAAAATTGTACCAAATATAAAACAGGAAAAATTCGACCAAATAAAAAATGGCAAAAATTCTACAAAAATAAGATAAAAATTGTACCAAATAAAAAATAAGGAAAATTAAAAAGTAAGTAAACATTGGGCTAACTGGAAATTCCTATTAAATCCTGTTAATTAAACCAAAAATAATTCTTTTAAATTAATTACTAAACTTTTTTTTTTTGTAAATTCATGTTAAATACAAACTCTAAATTAATTCTGTAATTTACAAATTAATTCCTAAATTATCCAAAAGGATAATTCCTTTAAAATAAAGGAAGGAAAATATTAATATTAATATTCAAATATTCAAAAATTCTTGAGGGAAAATATACTAACATTTTTTTCTTTCATGAAATATAAAAAACGTTTTCCTTAAGTTTTTTTTTTTGCAGAAAAGAGAATCTGCAATTAATTATCAATGCATTCACAATTAATTGTTAAAGTTCTGTTTGCTTCTTTTAGCAAACAGAATTTTTTTGTTCTGTTTCCATTTTTACTTTTTTTTTTTTCATTTGCTTAAATTGTTCATACCACGTGTACATATTTCCTACGATGCAGACACTGTTGTATGTAAAACGCAAGAGGATAGGTAACGTATCGTCTTATGCTCGGCCACGTGATTTCTTGCGCGAGGATGCTTCTTCTGTGTTTGGTTGAACGCCCGTTGTCGCGGCCAATACTCGTTTAGGGCGGCTCGTGGTACTTTTGCTTTCTTGCACTTTTTGCATGGCACCACCTAAAAATTTTAGGCTCTCTCTCACACTGTTTCTCGATTTTTTTTTGTTTCTTCTTTTCTTTTTCAATTTCTTTTATTTATTATTTATCTCTCATCAAAAACTTCCAAAAAAATGAAGAACTTTATTTTTTTTTTTATTCACTATTACTTTCTATTTTATAATAGCAAGTAATTATTTTTCCTCATTATTTTTGTTGTGATTTGTATTTGATTTTGATTTTTATTCTTATTTGTATTTGTTTGTTTTGAAAAACATTTTTGAGCAAAGAGAAAAAAATTTGTAAATTTACACTTGCCTTCGAGAATATAGTAGATTTTTAAGATTTGATTAAGGTTTGGAATTTAAAACTTTCATCGAAAGTAAATAGTTCTTAAATTTAGTTTTTTAAGCATTTCTTTAAATTTTAAGAAATATTTATTTTTTAATAATTCAATTTTTAAATATTTTAGTTCAAGTTTTTAAATTTTAACAGAGTGTCTACTATTTTCGTTGAACAAAATTCCCGGCTTTGTCCTAATTTTTCCCGTTTTTTTCCTCATCAAATTTAAATTTATTTGATTTCAAACATAAATAAATCTACAAATGGCTTTAAAAAATTTTTATTAGAGTTTCTATGAAAAATTAAATTCTTTTGACGAGTTTCTTTAAATTTTTTGAAAATATTGTTTTTTGAATAATAATAATAATTGAAAATTTAGAAAATTATTGAATTATACAGAGAATATTTGTTATTTTTAAAAATAATCTTGTCTGTTCATAATTACAATTGAAAATTTGATTCATTCAATTTTATTAAAATGTATTAATACTAATTGAATTTTTGCAAAGAATTTTACTATTTATAAAAGTAATTGAATTCTTGTGAAGAATTTAATAATTTATCAAAATAATTGAAATTTTGCAAATTTTATTAAAATTTTTGAAAATAATTGAATTTTTTACTTAAATTGTGATGAAAATAATTGAATTTGTACGAAGAATTTTTATTATTCATGAAAATAATTGAATTCTTGCAAAGAATTCATTATTTATGAAAAAAATTGAAATTTTGCATATTTTATTAAAATTTTTGAAAATAATTGAATTTTTTTTCACTAAAATTCTAATGAAAATAATTGAATTTGTACGAAGAATTTTATTATTCATGAAAATAATTGAATTCTTGCAAAGAATTTTATTACATTTTTTTTTAAATTGAATTCTTTTGAGGAATTTTATTAAAATAGTAGATTTTAAAAATATTTTAATTTCAGCGAAGAATTTCATTAATTGTGAATTGTAATTGAATTCTTGCAAAAAATTTTTGAAAATAATTACATTATTCGAGGAATTTATTTAAAATTGCATTAAAAATAATTGAAATCCTATGAAAAATTGTATTATTTATGAAAATAATTGAATTCTTACAAAGAATTTTATTACATTTTTTTTAAATAATTGAATTCATGAGAAAAATTTTATTACTTGTAAAAATAATTTAATTCTTACGGAGAATTTTATGAAAAATTTTGTAAATAATTTAGAGAACAGTATAAATATCTATAAAAATTGAAGTAAAAAGCGATTTTTTAAAAAACAAATAAAAATAATAAAACTTTTTTTAATTTGGTGGAAAAATTCCCGGTGTTGGCATAAAATTCCTAGCTTATTCCCGGTTTTTCCCGTTCAAATTAAATTCTCGGCTATTTACCGGTTAGTTGACACCCTGTTTAATTTTTAAATATTTGAGTTCAATTTTCTTATTTCAATTTTTTTTAATCTTGAAACATTTTAATTTAAGTTTTTATAAGTTTTTGTTTAAATGTAAATGTCTTGAGGATTTCTCATTAATCCATTATATTAATTACAAAATTAAAAATAGATTTTCTGTAAGAAATTTTAAATCGGACGAAACTGAATTAATTATATAAATTTTCGTGTTTTATATTCTCAAATTCTTTTAAACAATTACACTTCATAGTGTATATTAAATTTTATACTTTGCACAATATATTTTCTCAAAAATCTAAATATTTTTGTTCTTGAAATTAGGCAATAATTATTTTCAAAATTAAGAAAACTTGTTTCAATTTTCAATTCTTTCTTCAAACCGGACAATTTTTTAAATATTTTCAAAAGTTAAAAATTTTAAAAATCAATGATCGAAAGTTTGTCAATTTTATTTTTACTATTTGCTTCTGCAATTGATTTAAAAACAAAAAATAAATTAATTTAAAACTAACAATAATTGAAAATCTAAATCTAAAAATAATTCAAAATCTAAAATAAAAATAGGTACCAGTGGAAAAGAATTTTATTTTGAAAAAACGTAAAAAGAATTTTCATTTAAGAAATAATGTAGATTGAAAATATTTATAATTGTAATTATAATTGTAATTGTAATTATAATTTTAATTCATAATTAAAATTTTAATTCATAATTATAATATTAATTTATAATTAAATGTAATTGAAAAAATATTTACAAGATTGGAAAATATTAAAAATTTAAATGCATAAGATTATTAAATTTATAAGATTTGTAAACATTAAAAATTTAAATTCATAAGATTTGTAAACGTTAAAAATTGAGATTCATAAGATTCTTAAATTTACAAGATTTGAAAATATGAGAAAAATTCCCGATCAAAGAAATAAAGAATTGGAAGTGAAGCAAATTGTTTGAATATTAAGAAATCTATTCGCTGGAATAATGAAATTTATCGGGCAATAAAACCGTATTTTAATAACTCAAGACTTACCACGGGCCTTTGCTTTTGAAACCCCGCTGGTATTGTTGCTTTGGGGCTTATTAACTTTTTTTGGATCGTCTTTTTTCACCTCCACAGATTTTTTAGAAGCACTGTCCGATTTGCCGGGCGATGAAGAACTACTTGCCTCCTCGGCGGCGATTTTATTGCTTCTATTCATTGCCCGCTCTTTTCTACTTGGTCCTTTGGCCATTGATTTTGCAATGGCCAATGCCTTATTGTTCGATCGTTTTTTAGTAGCGTTTGCTTTTGGTTCGGGTTTCTCATCATTATCATCATCGTCATCATCATCATCGTCGTCGTCGTTGTCTTCATTGTCATCGTCATCGGAATCTTCTTCAGAGTCGTCATCTTCCGAGTCGCTCGATTCACGTTTCCCCTTCTTGCGTTGACGTTTTTGTTTTGAACCGCCTCCGCTGCCGCCGCCACTTTTTCTTTTCTTCAATTGTGACTCGTCTTTGAAGAGCGAAAGATCCACTGAAAAATGAAAATTTATTTCCGTTATTTAGATTAAATATTTTTTTTTTGTTATTAAAATTTATTAAAATATACATTTTATCCATTTTTATCAATTTTACTAAAATTCTTATTTACAATTTTTTATATTTTGTTTGTAAAATTAATTACGACTTTTACACTAATTACTAAGTTAATAACAGGCCTCGAAACCTCGAATCGACTTGAAGATGCAAAGAAAGACGCTTTAATCGATACAAAGCACAAAAAAGTCGAAAAAAACCGTTCATTTTATTCAAAAATTGCCACAAAAATTGATTTTATATTCTCTGACTTTTCAATGATTTACGGACATTTTTAAAAATTTTATTCGCTATCCTGATAATAACTTCAATTCTTTGAAGTTAACAATTCTTTAAAAAAATAATAACTTCAATTCTTTGAAGTTAACAAAGTTAACAATTCTTTCAAAAAGAAATAACTGTAATAAGTTTTTGCAAAATTCAATTATTTTCAACCAAGTTTTTCATATTTTTTTCAAAAGCACGATTAGTTTTAAAAATTGCAATAAAATTCTTTAAAACATAAAATTTATTTCAATAAAATTTGCCGGAATTTCCGATTGTCTGAAAATTTTTCAATTAATTATTCTTCGGAATCCAATTATCTTAAAAAATTTTAACTTCAATTTTTTCAGAATTTCTAAATGAAATTTATTTTAAACTTGAATAATTTTGTTAAATAATTATTTAAATACTTATTATTTATTTTCTCACCAGAATATTAAATTTTTAAACTTTTCCATTTAAAAACTTCTGAAATTGAATTATTTCTAAAAATTGCAAACTGTAATTCTTCCAAATTCTTCAATTATTTCTAAAATTTTGAACTGAAATCATTCAAAAGTTTAATAATTTTTAAAATTGAAAAAATGAAAAATTTTTGAACTTCTATATGAATTGAAAAATTCATAATTTTTATTTTGTAACCTTCTGAAATTTAATTATTTCTAAAAATTCATATAAACTTCTCCAAAAATTACTATAATTATTACTATAATTATTTAAATAATTTCTCTAATTTTTTTTCGAAAACTTTGAACTAAAATTCTTCTCTAAATCAAATATTATTTTTAATAATCTTGAGAAAGATGTTTAAAAATTCATTCATTCAAAAGAAGGAAATTGAATTGAGTTTAAAATTGTTCAATAAATAAAGTTCTTTAGATTTTTTGTAATTAAATTAAATTATTATAATTTTTAATATAATTATTTAAATAATTCTTCGACTTATTTTCTAGAACTTTGAACTAAAATTCTTCTCTAAATCAAATATTACTTTTAATAATCTAGGAAAAGATCTTTGAAAATTCATTTATTCAAAAGAAGGAAATTGAAATACGTCTAAAATCCAATTGTTTTGAACTCAATTTTAGAAAATTTCCGATTATTCAACTAATTTCAATAAAGTTTGAGTTTAAAATTTTTCAATAAATTAAGTTCTTTATTAAATTAAGTTCTTTCGGAAATTTTTAACTAAAATTCTTCTCTAAATCAATTGTTGATTATTTTTAATAATTTACAGAAAGTTTTTAAGGAATTTAATTATTAAAATATAAAAATTCAATTGTTTCCATTTCAATTATAGAAAATTGAAATTTCAACTAATCTCACAAAAAAATTTGAATTAATATTTATTCAAAACAACCAAGTTCTTCAAAATTCCTAGTTAAATTATTCAAATTTACAAAAAATTTCAGTTTGAAACCTTTTGAAATTTAATTTATTTCTAAAAGTTTATACTAAAACTCTTCAATAGTCAATTATTTTTCATAATTTATAATTAAAATTCTTCACTTTCCAATTATTTACAAAAAAAAATTGCAACTGATTGTTTTTGCTTTTTCTTTCAAGTTTTTAAAGCTTTACAAAAATTTAAGTATAATTTAATTAAGATTTTCAATATTTTCAAAAGACAACAAAAACAAGGATTTTTTGTAGAATTGATAAAACAATTTTTTTTTTACTACTTAAGACAAAAATCCTTGACTTTCCTAATTTCCTCGACATGTGAAAACTCTGTTACTGTCGAAATTCACACAAATGCAAAAAAAAAGTTTAACTCAAAACTAAATTTTTTATATTTATTTTAATGAATGATTATTTGTCTTTTTAGGAAAAAAGTTTGTTCTATGCCCTAAATGACTTGCAACAAAATTAAGACACTTCAAAGGGAAATTTTTTAATTTTTCGCTTTTTAAAATCGAAATAAGTAGCGTTTTATATATAAAAAAATCATACTATCCGAGGTCTGTTTTAATTTTTTTAAATAAATTTTTGTCAACTGCTTCTATTTTGTATTTTTTATTTTTTAAAGAAAGCTTCAGACTTTAATGACAAACGACGTTCTCAAAGTTTCGAACGTTCAAATGAACGACATTTTTTTACTTCTTTTGAATTGTATTATTTTCACAACAAAAAAAATTATTCAGTACATTAAAAAAAATTAATTCATAACTAAGTAAATATTTAATTTTAATTATTTTTCTTTTCTTTGGATGGTAATTTTTAAAAATATTTTTAAATATATAAAAATATTAACTTAACACTTGGGGGGGGGGGGGGGGGGGGGAGAAAAAAAATTCTCTTAATTTTTCAAAATACTTACGTCCATCGGGATGTTCCTCAGTAACTCGAGGCTTCTCCGAAACACCAGCTTCAACGTCAATCGCCCTCTTTAAAATATTCTCAGTTCGCAGTAGCTCAAGTTTAGTGAGTTGATATTTATTTTTCTCGACCTTATTGAGATTTAAGTTTGTCAATATGCAGTCGAAATCTAAAAAAACAAGAACAAATAAATTAATTACAGGTAAACTAATTACAAATAAATTACAAAGAAAATTAATTTCAAATTAATAATTTAGAAAAAAATTAAGATAATTTACTTCTTAAATAACAATTACTGAATTATTATTATTAATGTATAAATGTTCTTTTTATTATTAAATTTATTATTAACTTTTAAATAATTTGAATATTGAATATTAATATTTAATATAAATAATACTTTTTAAATTCAGAGGTAAAATAATATGCGATGATATTGTAAAGACTTTATGAAAGGTATACAATAAAATCTTACTTTACTTTTTAAATTCAATAAACAATAATAATTATTAAACTTACTTGTAAATAAAAAAAAAAGAAATAAAAAATATTAAACTTATTAAATTCAATAAAAATTAATTTAATTACTTTATGAAATTAATAGAATTTTTTTTTTTTTTTTGAAGTTGGAAGAAAATTACCTGTGTGATCGTAAAAATCGGGAGAATAAATTTCCCCGTTATTTTTATCTTGTGAGAGCCAACGAATGCGAATGCGCTTACTGCTTTTGTAAATATTTTGCATAGCCTGACAAACGAAGAAACTGCCTTCCGTATTTCTTACAGCGAGAAATTCGTTTCTGAAAATAACAACGATCAATTAAAAATTAATGTAAAATGTTTCTTTTTTCTTCTCTTTATTTTTTCTCTTTTCAATTTAAATACAAAATTCTATTTTAAAAATAAGCTTTTTAATTCTAATTTATTAAAAAATTTTCCAATTTAATTACAATAATTAAAAATTTTTTTTTAAAACTTTTTTTAATTTTTTTAAAAGTTCAGCGATTCTTGAAAATAAAATTCAAGGTTTTTTCAAAGTTTTCGTTTTTAATTTATCAATTAAGGTTTTGCTGCAAAATTCAAGAAAATTTCAAGGTTTTCAAAGTGAAAAAAATATTTCAAGATCTCTAGACACCTTATTAATAGAAAAGAGATATTTAATTTTATCAATTAAACTATTAAAATACAATTTTTTAAAAGAATTAAAAATATTAATTCAAATTCAATTCATTAATTTATTTAATTGAAATATTTTTTTTCGAAGTTAAAATTAAAAATTTCAACAGGCGACTTAAAAAAAATAGAAGAGAAAGAAGAAGTGTATTGAGAATGGCACTAACTTGTAGAAAACGATGAGCTTGTCGTCCGGAGCTTTGGTTGAGACAGGTTTATTAAGTGTTTTGACAATCATCGCAATTTCGGGCAATGGACTCTGATAGGGTTGTGTTTTTATGCGATTTCTCTTCGGCTTTGGACCACCTCCACCACTGCCACTGGCCGTTGCACTTTTCAAATCCTTGAGCTCTTTGGGTTTTCGTTTTGTGGCCCTCGTCGTACTTGCGACTTTTGTTTCCAATTTCGGCAAAGTCGTCACTGTACTTTCAGTGGCGCTTGGCTTGGCAACCGGCGATGGAACTTTTGGTTTTTGCGTTTCACTTTTTGCCGGTGATTCCTCTGTTTTTTGCGTTGGCACTGTTTTACTTGGTGACGAGCCCGGTGTTAATGTTGTTGTTGTTGCTCCTCCTGCTGCCGCTGCAACTTCCGTTTCCTTCGAGCCATTATTAATTGGCGATTTCTTCTCATCGATTTTACTCTGCGGTGAAGCGCCCACAACTGTAATTATTTTTTAAATAACATTAAGTATAAAATAGTTCTTTTTTTTTACTATTTACTACTTTTTACTTTTACTACGTAAACTGTAAAATTATTCGAAAACATCAAAAAAATCATTTTTTAAATGAATATTTAATCATTATTATTCAATAGGAACTAAGATTTTCAAAAAATTTAAAATTGAAACCTTTATGGAATTCAAAAAATTTATAAGAATATTATTATAAAACATAAGGATATCAATCACTCCGAGTCTTCGAATCGGAGTGATTAATATCTTCATGTTTTATAATAATTTAAAATTCCATAAAATTTTTCAAAAAAAATTAAATTATTTACAAAAATTTTAATAAAATCCTCCGCAAGAATTCAATTATTTTCAAAAATAATAAAATTTTCTTAGGATTTCAATTATTTTTAATACAATTTTAAGTAAATTCCTCGAAAAATGTAATTAATTTTCAAAAATTTTTGCAAGAATTCAATTACATTTCACAAATAATAAAATTTTTCGCTGAAATTCAAATATTTCCAAAATCTACTATTTTAATACTCAAAAGAAATTAAATTATTTAAAAGTTACAAAAAATGCAAGAAATCAATTATTCTCCTAAATATTAAAATTCTTCATAAATAGTCCATTATTTTCAAAAACTTTAATAAAATATACAATACTTCAATTATTTTTATAAATAATGAATTCTTTGCAAGAATTCAATTATTTTCATAAATTATAAAAGTCTTCGTACAAATTCAATTATTTTCATCATAATTTTAGTTAAAAAATTGAATTATTTTCAAAAATTTTAATAAAGTTTGCAAAATTTCAATTATTTTGAAAATAAAAATAATCACAAGAATACAATTATTTTCATAAATAATAAAATTCTTCACGGGATTTTAATTATTTTAAAAAAATGTAATAAGAATACGTTGTAAGAAATCAATTATTCTCCTAAATAATTAAATTTTTTTCAGGATTTCAATTATTTTTAATACAATCTCAAGTAAATTCTTCGAAAAATGTAATTATTTTCAAGAATATTAATAAAATTCTTTGAAAGAATTCAATTATCAATTATTTTTAATAATTTTTGAAAAAGTTCCTTGAGAATTTTCAATTCAATTTTACAAAATTTCGATTATTCGGAAATTCTTTATTGAAATATTTAGAAAACTTGAAATAATTTCAAAAGAAAAATTCAATTAAAATTAAAAAAAAAATCAATTCTAAAGAATTATCAGTTAAAAGTGAGAAAATTTTATATTTTGAAAGATTTTAATTAAAAACCTTTTTAAAATTCAATTATTATCTACAACTTTAAATAAAATTAATTTTTAAATCAATTTTTTAGTATTTAAATAAAAAAAGAAATAATTTATTGAGTAATTGAATTTTTCTCAAAATTGAATTCTCATAAAGAATTCTATCAACAAATTTTTAAATAATTGAATTCTTTCAAGGAATTTTAATAAAATTTTCAAGAATAATTACATTTTTCGAGGAATTCGATTAAAAGTGTATTAAAAATAATTGAAATTCTACGATGAGTTTTATTATTCATGAAAATAATTGATTCACTGTAAAAAAATTTTTATAATTTACACAAATAATTGAATTATTGCGAAGAAATTTATTCTTTCAATGATTTTTTTTTAATTATTGAAAATAATTAAATTTCTTCGAAGAATTAAAAATATATCGGAAATAATTGAAATTCTTCAAAGAATTGTAATTGTATTGAAGATAATTGAATTTTTTTAAATAAATTTTTTCAAATTGTTTTAAAATAATTGAAGAATTGTTTCAAAGAAATTTATTAAAATTTCCGAAAAAATTAAATTCTTTCTTGGAATTCAATTAAAATTGTGTTGAAATGTCATAAGCAAATTTTATCTAAATAAAATTTTCAAGTATAATTACATTTCTCGAGGAATTCGATTAAAATTCCATTAAAAATAATTGAAATTCTACGATGAGTTTTATTATTCATGAAAATAATTGAAATCCTGTAAAGAATTGTAGTATTTATGAAAATAATTTGAATTTCTTGTGAAGAATTTAATTATTTATAAAAATAATTGAAATTTTGCAAATTTTATTAAAATTTTTGAAAATAATTGAATTTTTTTACTAAAATTGCGATTAAAATAATTGAATATTTTAACTAAAATTATGATGAAAATAATTGAATTTATACGAAGAATTTTATTATTTAAGAATATAATTGAATTCTTGCAACGAATTTTATTACATTTTTTTTTAAATAATTAAAATTTTGAATATTTTATTAAATTTTTGAAAATAATTGAATTTTTTTACTAAAATTGTATTGAAAATAATTGAATTTGTACGAAAAATGTTATTATTTCGGAGAATAATTGATTTCTTGCAATGAATTTTCATTCCATTTTTTTTAAATATAATTGAAATCCTGTAAAAAATTGTATTACTTATGAAAATAATTGAGTTCTTGCAACGAATTTTATTACATTTTTTTACATTGAATTTTTTTGGAAAATTTTATTAAAATAGTAGATATTAAAAATCATTGAATTGAGGGAAATTTTTAAAAATAATTGAATTCTTTTACTAAAAATGTGTTGAAAATAACTGAATTTGTACGAAGAATTTTATTATTTAAGAAAATAATTGAATTCTTGCAAAGAATTTATTACTTATGAAAATAATTAAAATTTTGCATATTTTATTAAAAGTTTTGAAAATAATTGAATTTTTTGTACTAAAATTGTGTTGAAAATAATTGAATTTGTACGAAAAATGTTATTATTTTGGAGAATAACTGATTTCTTGCAATGAATTTTCATTCCATTTTTTTTAAATATAATTGAAATCCTGTAAAAAATTGTATTACTTATGAAAATAATTAAGTTCTTGCAACGAATTTTATTACATTTTTTTTACGTTGAATTCTTTTGGAAAATTTTATTAAAATAGTAGAAGTTGAAAATCATTGAATTGAGGAAATTTTTAGAAAATAATTGAATTTTTGTCAAAAACTTTATTATTTTTAAAGATAATTGAAATTTTGACGAGAATTTATTTTGAATTTTTTAACATAATTGAATTTCTGCAAAGAATTTTATTACTTTTGAAAATAATTGAATTTCTGTATTAAATTAATTTGTAACTTCTCCAAAATTCAATTTTTTCCAGTACTTTAATAAAAATCCCTGACTTTTCTCTAATATCCCGGACCAGTGGTAACCCTGATTTTCATTTTGCAATGATTGCTTTATCGAATAAAGAGAAAAAGAAATAAAACCTGGAGTTGTTTCCGGTTTGACGGCAGTCTCCGCCTCGGACTGTGACTCAAGTTGCTTCTTGTCTTGAGTTTGTTGCTCCTGACTGGGAGTTTCGGGACTCATGTTGTTATTTCGGCTGGGCTCGCTCGATTTAATGGGACAATTTTGTTCTTGCTCGGTTTGGACTTTACTGGACTCGACGCCATTGGCAATGACCTTGTCGGAGTCGGTTTCCTTTTCCGCATTATTGGTGGTGTAAGTTGAGGGTTGTGCTTGATACACTGGTGGCCTGTGATCTTGCACAAGGCTCAGGGGCTGTTGCGGATGATTTGGCGGTTGTAGAGTGACGTAACTCAAACCACTGGTGTTCAATGGTTTCATTCCACTGTTGGACTCGGTTCCTGGCACGACTTTTTGGGCCATCATGTTCATTGGCAACACTGAATGGCCTGCGGACGACGGGGATGCACCTACTCCAGGCATTGATGATTTTATCGCAGGTGCACTCATGCCCCCCTTTTTAATTTATTTTAACGCACTATTTAACTCTGCAATAGAAGAAAAAAGAAATTTTTTTTTTGTTAATTACGAAATTTTGACAATTTATAAACGTGTAAATAAATTTTGGCAAAATACCATTTTTTTTTGCAACAAAAAAAAACTAATTTATGAAATGGAAATTAAAATTAAATAAAAACAAAACTCAAATAAAATAGAAATTAAAAAAAAAATATGAGACTGAAGTCCGCAACGTTTTTAAAAACGAAAAATCAGAAAAAATTGTTTTGTTAAGTTAAAATCATTTCTAATTTTTATTTTCGTGAGTTTTTAAAAAATTATTACTTAATAATTTTTTAAAAACTCACGAAAATAAAAATTAGAAATGATTTTAACTTAACAAAACAATTTTTTTATTTGATTTTAGAAAATAACATCATTTTGAAACTAAAATAAAAAAAACGTCGCATTATTTTTGAGTTTTAGTTTATAAAAACGTTGCGGACTTCAGCCTCCTGAAAAAACTGAAATATAATAGAAATTAAAATGAAATAAAATAAAAATTGAAATAATATAGAAATAAAAATAAAATAACTAAAATATAATAAAAATAAAATAAAAACAAATCTCAAATAGAAATTAAAATAGAGTAAAAATTTAATATAAATAAAATAAAAACTAAAATGGAAGTAAAATAAAATAACAACTAAAATATAATAAAAATAATTAAAATTTTCTTCGAAGAATTATAAAATTATATTGGAAATAATTGAATTTCGAATTTCTTCGAAGAATTGTAATTGTATTAAAAATAATTGAATTTCTTCAAAAAGTTTTTGCATGAATTCAATTACATTTCTCAAATAATGAAATTCTTCGATGAAATTCAAATATTTTCAAAATCTACTATTTTAATAAAATTCCTCAAAAGAATTCAATTATTTAAAAAAAAATGTAATAATATTCGTTGAAAGAATTCAATTATTTTCATAAATAATAAAACTCTTCACAGGATTTCAAATACTTTTAATACAATCTTAATTAAATTCTTCGAAAAATGTAATTATTTTCAAAAATATTAATAAAACTATTTGAAAGATTAGAATTCAATTATCAATTATTTTTAATACTTTTTCCAAAAGTTCCTTGAGAATTTTCAAATCCATTTGTTTACAATTTAATTTTCCAAACTTTCGATTATTAGGAAATTCTTCAATTAAATATTTAGAAAATAAGAACTTAAAATAATTTCAAAAAAAAATTCTATTAAACTTTTTCAAAAAAAATAATTCTACAGAATTGCCAGTTAAAAGTATGAAAAATTCATATTTTTAAAAATTTCAATTTAAAACCTTTTCAAAATTAAATTATTTTTCTAATTAATGATACATATTTAATATTCAATTATTATCTAAAACTTTAATTGAAATTAATTTTAAAATCAATTTTTTATTAGAAAATTCTATGAGAATTCAATTATTTAAATACAAAAATAAATAATTTATTGAATAAATGAATGTTTTTCAAAATTGAATTCTCAAAAGGAAATTTATCAACAAATTTTTAAATGATTAAATTTTTTCGACTAATTCTAATAAAGTTTTTAAGAATAATTACATTTTTCGAGGAATTCGATTAAAATTGTATTAAAAGTAATTGAAATTTTATGATAAGTTTTATTATTCATGAAAATAATAATTCAATAAAAATTAAGACAAAATAGAAATTACAATAGAGTAAAAATTCAAACAACAAAAAAACTAAAATAAAATAGAAATGAAAATAGAGTAAAAATTAAAGTAAATATTAAATTGAAACACAAACTAAAATATAATAGAAAATAAAATAAAGTAGAAATTAAATTAAAATGAAAACAAAACTAAAATAGTATTTAAAATATAGTAAAAAATAAAATAAAATAATGTAGAAATTGAAATAAAAGCTAAAATATAATAGAAATTAAGGAAAATAAAAATTAAAATACAATAAAAACTAAAATAGAGTAGAAAATAAAATGAAATAAAAAGTGGAATAAAATAGAATAAAAATTAAAATAAAATCTAAAATAATATAGAAATAAAAATAAAATAACTTAAAAAATAGAAATTAAATTAAAATTAAAAAATAAAGTAATAAAAATTGGAATAAAATTAAAATTAAATTAAAAACTAAAATATAATAGAAATTAAAAATACTAAAATAGAATAGAAATTAAATTAGAAAAAAAATAAAAATTGAAGCAAAATAAAAATTAAATTTACATAATTTTTTGTTTATCTTTTTTTTAATAATAACAATCATTTGATATGTTTTTCCATCTCAAAATTTTCAATCTAGTGAAAATTCACCTGAAAATAGTTCCAAACGAAAAAAAATTACAAAACGCCAGCACTGAAAAAAGTACAATTAACAAATTTCGAAAAAAAAATCAAAATTCATAAATGATTAAAAGGAGAAAAAAATTGTAAAGTGCAAATAAAATAAATAAACCAGAAAGATAATGATATCAGTTTCATAATGTAAACCTCATTCGTACAAATGACATTGAAATTTATCAACGTGAACTTTTTTTTTACAATAATTACATATTTTTTAAACTATTTTCGATTTTTCCATTTTTAAACAATATCCTAAATTCGGTGATTCAACTCTTTTCGGAATAAAATAAAATTAATATTTATACAGCTAAATAAACACATGTGTTCTTTAAATAGAAAAATCGTTTTCAATTCAATATCCTAATCGAACTTATGAAAATTCAATTTTCCAACAGTGAAATTCTTTACAAAAAAATTTTCCATCAGTAAAATTCTTCATTAAAAATTTTTTTTTTGAAGGGGAAAATAAAAAAAGTAAACGTATCAATCAATAACAGTTGATTTAGAAAATTGTGAGAAAAAAAAATTTTTTGGAGTAAAAATCGAGTAAAGGGAAAAAAACCGAAAAATAAAATTTGAAAGTATTGACATTCGACAGAGTGAAAATCTGAACAGAAAGAGTTCATAAATCAAAATTCAGGAGGCTAGGGAAAATAAACGGCAGGGTGACGGCAGGTTATGAATCAGAAATACTAATGGACTGCAAAGAAAAAAAGAAATCTGTTAATCATTGAAAAAATTCGGAAAAAAAGAATAAAAATTTTATCAATTGGAGAAAAAAATCCAAGATAAATACGTTTGAGAGTTGAAAATTGTGATTGTTTGTGTAACATTTACGTGTAAACTGTACTGAAGCGTCCGAGTAATATCAAGAAGCAAGAGAGAAGGGCCGGGAACAGAGGTGGGGGAGGTAATTAGGGGAGTAAACATAAACATGAATCGACTTTTATATGGAAATTTGATATCACTGACTCTATAGATATTTATCATATTAAAAACATATTCAAATTTTACTTCTCAGATATTTACCTAAACGAAGCAAAATTGCTTTAATAACGATATAACACTCTTTTTCTCTCGCAATGATCTTGGCTCGGAGGTTGACCGCTGCTTTCACGCACTCCACGGTTAACTCATCCTTCTCAAAAACATTTCTTTTATATATATTTATTTAAATAAAACACAATTGTTCTACCACCATTCAACACAACGCGATTGATACATCGCGAAATACGTGTGAAAATTTTATTTTAAATACTGATAAAACACTAATTAAGAAGGACAAAATGCCTCGCACAACAGACAGAAACGAAAATCCAGGAATGCCAGACGTTAGATGGCGTCTTTCCGACGCCATATGTAACGCTACGTCACAAAACGCGCGGGAGGGCGGAGGCGACAAAAGAAACTTAAATAAACTTTTGAAAAAAAATACTTTTCCGTTAGATAAAAATTGGGGGAAAGTAATTCAACTTTACGAACATACCTTTTTTTCATAAGTTGTCTTTCCTTTTTATCCAGACAATCCATTAAATGTGTTGTTGAACTCTCCTGTGCATTCTAACCTATAAAAATTCTTCAACACCACTTGAGTTTGTTTTCCCTTCGTTAGTAGGATATTTCCTTTTACATTGGACCCGGAAACTTGGGAAATATCACTGAATGTATTAATTTCACGAAATTTTGATAATATCCCGAGTTTATTATCACTTTACTTTCTTGAAATTCGTGTAAACTTTGAACGCACACAATATCACTACTGGAGTCAGTGGAACACAGGGTTGGGAAGGTACTAACGTCTAAATTATCTAAATAGTTCAAAACGTCAATCTATGTAAATTACTGTATGTTAAGATAAAACTACGTAGTGAGGGACGTACAATACTGTAACTACCGGTCATTTCGATTTTACGTACCTTCCCAACGCTGGTAATTTCTTACCGCCAAAGTCAAACTAACGTCAAATTAGTTTTTCTTCGAAAAAATTAGGAAAGCAATGAAAACGGTTTAGAACTAAAAGGAAATTTTCGAAAATAAAATTAATTTCTGACCCACAGGCCCAACGGGGTCCTAGTAATTATTATATTATATAGAAAATATAAAAAAGAGAAAACTAACCTCAAAAAAAAAATTGACAAAAAAATATTGTTTCTTTGTACAAAGTGAAAAAGATCCTAAATAACAAAAAGGAAAAAGTTTTGTTTTTACGATTTGTTAGTTGTTGCTTGTTGCAAGGTAAAAGATCATTAAACTCGTCACCAGGTGGAGGTAACATTCATTTCTCGGGAAAGTTTTATCCATTTTTTATCAAAGTAGTGAAACTATTTTTTTTTTTTGCTAAAAAAGTCGCAAATGTAATAAAGTAGATAGTGTACACGCAGGTGAAAATGGAGTAAAAAAAAATAAATAAATATAGGTGTGGTATTGCCGGTATAAATATAAATTATAACCAATCATCAGTGTACATAACCCCAATGACAGCACAAAAATGCTTTACAGAGATAATTTGGAATTTTTTTGAAACTTAAGAATATACATGATAATATTTGTGACTTGTATAACTTTTACCTCTATAGCATTTCCGGATAAGTAATGCATTGGCTACGACGTTGGAGAGAATTTATTTTTCTGTTCGTGACAACAGGTTGATAATAACAATCAGCATATAATTATAACACTTGAAAAAACAAGTATATCTAATTTTTGTACAGCATTTTCTTTTTTATTTTTATTTATATACAAAAATAATTAAGCACAAAAAAAATGGGTCTTGGAAGTTTTCGCTATCGTATTTTAATCAGCGTTATTTTGATATTTCTTCTCTATCAATCGTCGAAAATTTGGTTTCCATTCACGGGATCGAGGAAAGACTCTAATCAGGTAATTAAAAGATTTTAAAGTTCATAAAGTTCACAGTTTAAAAATTTTTTCACTCCATTCATTATTTTTTTGTAAATTTCAAAAATTTTATATTTTTAAATATATTTTGAACATCAATTTTTGAATAATGACAGATTCAAAGTATTTTAAAAATTCTCTTATAAAATATAACAGCAATTTTGATCAAATTCTTTGGGCGAATTCAATTATTTTCATTAATAATAAAATTCTTCGGAAGAATTCAATTATTTTTAATAAAATTTCAACAAACAAATACAATTATTTTTAAAAATATTATAATTGAATTCAACAATTTTCAACAATTTTGATAAAATCTGTGAAAGAAATTATTATTTTTAAACGTTTTAATAAAATTATTAGATTGAATTTAATTATTTTCAACAATTTTGACAAAATTCTTCGAAACAATTTAATTATTTTTCTAATTTATAAAATTCTTCGCAAGAATCCACTTATTTTTAATACAATATTTTAATAAAATTTCTTGAAAAAATTCAATTATTTTTGAAAATATTAATTGAATTTGTTTATTTTCAACAATTTTGATAAAATACTTAAAGAAAATTATCTCTATACATTTTAATAAAATTCTTTTGAAAAAATTCAATTATTTTCAAAAATTTTGATAAAAATTCTACGAAACAATTCAATTATTTTTATAAATTGTAAAATTCCTCGCACGAATTCAATTATTTTTAAAAATTATAAAATTCTTCCCACGAATTCAATTATTTTTAATACAATTTTCATAAAATTTCTAGAAAAATACAATTATTTTTAAAAATGTTAATTGAATTAAATTAATTTCAACAATTTTTGATAAAATACTTTTTAAAAAAATGATTTTTTAACGTTTTAATAAAATTATTAGATTAAATTCAATTATTTTCAAAAATTTTGACAAAATTCTGCGACACAATTCAATTATTTTCAAAAGTTTTGATGAAATTCTGCGAAACAATTCAATTATTTTTAATGCAATTTTAATAAAATTTCTTTAATAAAATTTCTACAAAAAACATTCAAATTTTCAAAAATTTTGACAAAATTCTTCGAATCAATTCAATTATTTTCAAAAATTTTGATAAAATTCTTGAAAACAATTCAATTATTTTTATAAATTGTAATACATAAAATTTTTCTAAAAAATTTAATTATTCTTAAAAGTTTTTGATAAAATTCTTTGTAAATTTCAATTATTTAAAACATTTTCAATTAAACTAATTAAAAATAAAACTACTTTATTTTCACAAAAGTCAAAAAAAAAAAAAATTTAATTATTTATGAAAACTAATAAAATTGTTTAAAAGAATTTAATTTTATATCAATAATTTTAATAAAATTTAATAATAAAATTATTAATTAGAATTAATAATAATTAATTACAATTAATAATATACACAATTCTTTTAAAAACTTAAAAGTTTTATAAATAGTATTATTTGCGAGAATTCAATTATTTTCAATAATACAATTTTAATGAAATTTCTCGAAAGAATTATTTTTATTTAACTTTTGAAACAGATTTTGTTTCCTTTTTCTTTTATCAAACAAAAGGAAATAATTTTTCAAATTTTTATTTTTTATTTTATTAATGAAAAGAAAAAGAAAGCCAAAAATATGCAGTTAAAAAAGTTTCCTTCATTTATAACACGCTAATTTTATGTAGAACAGGTGAATCATGGAGACGCACCGGCAGATTTAAATTCAAATGCTCCAGTTGTGCAAACAATTCTCGTTACAGTTTATTACGAGGCTTTATGTCCTGATTCACGGAGTTTTTTCGTCAAACAATTGCTTCCAACTTTTGAGAGAATTTCCGAGAATATTCACCTTAAACCAGTACCGTACGGAAAGGCAAAGGTTATTATTTTTTTATTTACTTTCAATAAAAATATTTAATATTAATTATTTATTTATTTATTTATAATTAATATTAATTAATATGATTCTATGATTCTAATTTAATATTTTTCTTTTTTTTTCTTTTTCTTTTTCCAAAAAAAAGACAACAAAAACAGATGAGGGTTTTAGTTTTGAATGCCAACATGGACCAAGAGAATGTGAGGCAAATATGATTCACGCCTGTGCGATTGATGTTATAAAGGATCAAAAACAACAATTAGAATATTTAACGTGTATGATTAAAAAAAATTACGAACCCCAGGATATCATGAAGAGTTGCGCCAATAATATGGGAATAAAATATCAGCCAATAATTGATTGCTATTTATCAAAGGGGGAAAATTTATTGGCCGAATATGGCGAAATGACGGAGGCGAATCGAAAGCGAATTAGTTTTATACCTGCAATTTCGCTCGATGAGGTGAGAAATTAACATTTTTCTTCTCTAAACCAAAACTATTATCAAAAGTATAATTATTTCATTTATTAGGTAAATAATAATTATTTCTATTATTAACGTTCGAAATTATTTTCAGGATTTCAGTAATCAACCAGCGATTCTGAAAAATTTACTCAAACAAATATGTCTTCTTCTAAAAAAACAACCAGACGGTTGTTTTTAATCTAGAGCACAAATACTATATTCACACTTCCATTTTTAAACACTGAAATTTAAAAAAATAGCAAATTTTCACCTATTGAGAATAGTTTTTATATTCTCAATTATAAAATCATAACGAATATTTTCATTATATTAGAAAATTGATTAAGACTTTGAAAATTTCTAAAAGGAAATTATTGAAAATAAAAAGAAATTATTGAAAGTGAAAGAAAATTATTGACGAGAATAAAAGAAATAAAAGACGTGAAAAATGAATACATAATAAAATATTAAGAAAGATATTAAATAATTATGTTAAAGTTACTTTTACACATTTTTGATAAAATAAACTCAGGTTGATTAAATATAATGTTAATTATTGCGTATTTAAAAAGAAAAAAAAACTGTTGTTTCATATCTTCCATGTTCGTGTTGTTCGATATTATATCAATTTATATATATTGTATATTATATTATATTATATTATACATTTAAAAGAAAAGGTATGTGAAAAATATATATATTGATTTCTAAAAAAAAGACTCTTTCTTTTTACCTTCAAAATTTCGGGATTTAAATAAATTTTAAGAAGATTTATTTTAAAAATACAATACCTTATTTTAAAAAAAGTGACGATTTAGTCTAGTAATTGAAGATTGTCTAATTTTTCACTAGAATAAAAACCAGCTTTTACATTTCGTCCGCCAAAAAATCGTCCATTTAAATCGACCACTGCTTTAATTGCACTCTCTATCCTTTTGAATTCAACGAATATTCTCACTGCCTCCTCGGCCGGTGCTTCGCGAACTTCGTGAATTATTACTCGCGCCACATCTCCATATTTTGTGTTACATTCGTCTTTTACCTCTGGCTCCAAATCCTCGTCAACTTCTCCTGGTCCCACCATATTTCTCAAGAGCACCACCTAATTAAACGAAATTTTTTAAAAATTTATTTCCCTTTATTTAAAACTTATTTTTTAAATAACTAATTTAAGTTTAATTTTTAATTTTTTTTTGTTTTATTTCTCTTTATTAAAAAAATATAGGTACTTTATATTAAATTTCTTATACATTTTTTACTATTAGGTTTTATTTATTTATTTTGCAAGTCAGGATTGGCAGGAAAATTTGATTTTGTTTTTCCCTGATTTCTATTAGACAGAATTTTAGCTATTTTTCTGTTATTTTTTATGAAATTCTAATTTTCAAAAATTTCAATTCGCAATCTTCGAAAATTTAATTATTTATAAAAATCGCAATTGCAACTCTTCCAAAATTCAATTATTTTTAGAATTTTGTGATTTGTAAAATTATTCGAAATATTAATATTGAATAATAATAATTATTTGTTAACGAAAATTCAAATTTTCAAAAACTTATTTAAAACCTTCTAATTGAATTCTAAAATTAAATTATTTAAAAAACAATTGAAATTGCATATCTTCCAAAATTATATTATTTTTAGAATTTTGTAATTTGTGACATTATTCGAAATATTAATAGATCTAAAAAAATAAATATTTAATTACTATTATTATCATCTTTCTACGGAAATTCAAATTTTCAGAAATTGCTATAAATCTTCCAAAATTCGATTATTTTTAGAATTCTCAAGTAAAATTTATTGTCACATTTAATTTAAACCAAAAAATGTTCACTCTCAACTTATTCAACACAAACTTTTATTTTTAATTTTCACCAAAAAAATTTTCACTTTCGGGAAAAAACCTCTTACTCTAAATTACACTTAAAATATTTTCACTTTCAAACAAAAAATTACTTAAAAAATTTTCATTTCCACTAAAAAAATTCACTTTCAATTTCGCCAAAAAACATTTCACTTTCAATAAAAAAAATTTTCTGTGAAATTGTAAGTGATATTGTTTTTATTGAAAGTGAAAGTTAAAATATTTTTTTAGATAATAAAGTGAAAATATTTTGCGTTTTAAATTCAAAGTGAAAAAACTTTTTGAGTGAAAGTGAAAATATTTTTTGGGAAATTGAAAGTTAAAATATTTTGGGTGAAATTGAAAATTTGTTGGCAAAATTGAAATTAAAAATCTTTTAATAGTGAAAATTCTTTGAGTAAAATTCTAAGTGAAAATTTTTTCATAAAAAGTGAAAGTATTTTGGGTGAAATTGAAAGTGAAAATTTTTTAATTGACAGTAAAGAAGAAAAATTTTTTTTGGTGAATGTGAAAATATTTTGAGTGAAATTGAAAATGTTTTGATTGAAAGTGAGAATTTTTCGGGTGGAGGTGAAAATTTTTTGCCTTAATGTGAAAATTTTATGAGTGATAGTGAAAATTTTTGCGTGAAAGTATCTGCCAAAAAATTAAATTTGACGAATAAAAAATCATCTTAAAAATCAGAATTCATGAAACAGTTTAAAGTAAGAGAAAAATTAAATGCAAAAAAAAATTATTTTATTAACATTTCATTTAAGTAATAAAAAATATTGTTTACACTGATTCACAAAATTTAAAATGATTTATAAAATAGTAAACATTTTGAAAAATCTTTTAAAGTTAAAACTTTCTGTCGAAAAATTTATTTAAATTTTTTTAATATATCTTTTTCTAACATTCATAATTTTGTTTGACACTAAATAAATTCATTTAGTTTTTAGTGTAAACTTTGCCAAAATGATTAAATTGTTTCTTTGATAGTTAAAGTTATGTTTAGTAATAAAATATTTATATTTGTAAAATAAGGTATATTTTGTAATCCCTGAATTTTTTATTTATTTATTGAAGAAATTTATTATTATTGCAAAGAATATAAATATAAAATCTATTTTTAACGTTGGAGTTAATTATATTTATTTACTTATTTATTTCTTATTAATTTATTAATAATCAATAATGGATTATTTCCTCTCTTTTCGCACGTTTATTTACGAATTCTATTTTTAATTTTACTTTTCTTACATTCAATTTTCATCTTTAATCATCAAATCTATTCACTTGTTTATTTTTATCTAGTTATTTAGATTCTGACTCTAAAATTCTATATTTTCTTCAATATTTGAATATTTCATAGTTTCAAATTTTGTATCAAATCAAAATGTATTTTTGTATTTTTTAATTTTTAATTCATTGAAATTTCATTTATTTTGATATTTTCAATTTCAATTTATTTTTTATCCTTAATTATTATTTTTTATACTGAAACTTTTTAAATCAATTTTTTTTAATTTATTAATTTTTATGGGCATATTTCTAGAACTTTTAAACTTTTAGGTATTGGAAAACTTAATTTTTCTTTTTAAGGCACATTCTTGAAATTAATTTTATTGTTTTGTGCATTGATCAAATAGTAGAAAAAACCTTGCGATACTCATTTCTACATATTGTATTGTCGTTCCCTACCTAATTAAAATGATTATTATACACAAGGTATATTTAAAGAGCACAATAATTTATCAGATTATGGTACTGCAAAATTATATTTATTATTTTTAAAATATAATAATAAACGGAAACATAAAGTTTAAAAGTTCTAGAAATATGCCCTTATATGTTACTCTAAAAATAATTATTAGATACTCAAAAAAATGATCTATTGCTATAATGCTTTTAATATTTCATTATTACCTAAACTTTTAACTCAAATTAATTTTTAAATCAATTATTAATAGAAAATTCTACGAGAATTAAATTATTTGAATACAAAAATAAATAATTTATTGAATGATTCAATGTTTCTTAGAATTGAATTCTCATAAAGAAATTTATCAACAAACTTTTAACTAATTAAATTCTTTTGATGAATTTTAATAACATTTTTTAGAATAATTACATTTTTCGAGAAAATCGATTTAAATTGAATTAAAAATATTTGAAACTTTGCGATGAGTTTTATTAAATATGAAAATAATTGAATTTGTAAAAAATTTGTAAATAATTGAATTCCAGTAAAATTTTTATTATTTATGAATATGAAAATAATTAAACGTTTGCGTAGAATTTTATCGAAATTTTTTTTTAAAGGTTTTGTATTAGAATTCGTGGTAATTTCATAGTTTATGAACCAAACATAAAAGATACAAAAATTCAGAATTTTCTTCTAAATTCTAAAAATTTAATTTTATTCTAATACATTTAATAAATAGTTAGGAAGAAAGCAGTAAATAGGAACTTTTAGTAGATGAGTGCGAAGCCTGTATAAAAATGTTTTCTTTCTATTCTATAAATTATTCTGTATATCAGATTTTTTGTTTAAATAAAATAAATAAATTTCGATAATTACCTTGCTTGGTGATTTCATTATTTCCGTAATACTGGGCTCCTCGGGAGGTGGCATTTGTTGTTGTTGCATTGGAGGTGGTGAAATTGGAACTGGAGGCGGAGGTGGCATTAATTGTTCTCGTTCACTGACAATTCTACCACCGCGTTTACTTGTTTTTTCAACTTGCAATGCAACTGACATTCCTTGCTCCTTTTTCCCGAGGCCTTGTCCCTCTTTGAAACCATATTTTGCCATTATTTTCGCCGCTATTGAACTCGAATTAATACCAAGATTATTGTTTTGCTTCGAAAATAATGGAGGTGCTTCGGAATATTCCTGTAACGATGGCGGAGGCGCAATCGCTGCTCCACCCTGCATTGCTCTCGACGTTGGAGTTCGTTCCTCGTCTCTCTCGGGAACAATCATTGTATTCCCCGCAGGAGATTGTTGCTGCCAATTGCAATTTATTATAAATTATCATCAAAAATATATCAAAAAGTGAATAAAAATACAACTACAATTTATTTTAAATTATTAACAAAAATATAAATAATGTGAATAAAAATACAAATAAAATCCTTCCTCGATGAGAAAGCAATAAATAAAATTAATAAAAGCTAGAATTTTCCTGACTATCCAAAGCCATAAATTAAAGAAGAAGAAAATGTATAAAACAGGATTGCCACAAAAAATTAATTTTGTTATTCCCAGACTTTTCCCTGATTTACAGATAAAATTTTGAATTTTTCTCTGACCCTCAAGAATATTCTGATTAAGATTTTCAAAAAATTTCAAATTCAAACCTTTATGAAATTTAATAACTTATAATAATTTAAATTTTCATTTAAAATTGTTCAAAAAGAAAATTAATTAGTTTACAAAAATTTTAATTTTAGTAAAGAAATTCAATTATTTTCAAAAATTTTAATAAAATTTGAAAAATTTCAATTATTTTGATAAATAATTAAATTCTTCACAAGAATTCAATTATTTTCATAAGTAATACAATTCTTCGTACAGATTCAATTATTTTCTTCACAATTTTAGTAAAAAAATTCAATTATGTATTTTCAAAAATTTTAATAAAATTTGCAAAATTTCAACTATTTTGATAAATAATTAAATTCTTCACAAGAATTCAATTACTTTCATAAGTAATAGAATTCTTCGTACAGATTTTAATTTTTTCATTAATAATAAAATTCTTTATAAGATTTCAATTATGTTTAATACAATTTTAAGTGAATTTGTCGAATTTTAATACTTTTTGCAAAAGTTCCTTGAGAATTTTCAAATCCATTTGTTTACAATTCAATTTTTCAAAATTTCGATTATTCAGAAATTCTTGAATTAAATATTTAGAAAATAAAAACTAGAAATAATTTCATAAAAAAATCCAATTAAACCTAAAAAAATAATTCATTAGAATTGTCAGTTAAAAGTATGAAAAATTCGTATTTTCTAAGATTCTAATTTGAAACCTTTTCAAAATTCAATTATTTCTAGAAATTTATGCTATAATGCTTTTAATTTTCAATTATTATCTAAAATTTTAACTGAAATTCATTTTTAAATCAATTTTTATTAGAAAATTCTCCGAAAATTCAATTATTTAAATACAAAAATAAATAATTTGTTGAATAAATAAATGTTTTTCAAAATTTAATGTTTACGAAGAATTTTATTAACAACTTTTGAAAATAATTAATTTTTTTTAAGTAATTTAAGTAAAATTTTATTGAAATTCATTGTATTATAGATTTTTATACCATTTTTTTGAAAATAATTGAAAACTTTTTAAAGAATTTTATTACAATTTTTGACAATAATTTAATTCTTGAGAAGAATTTCGCTACCTATTTATAAAGAAAATTTAATTCTTGACGAGAATTTTTAAAAAATTTTAAAAATAATTTAATATCTGCATAGTATTTTATTACTTTTCAAAAGAATTGAATTATTGTAATGAATATTGATATTCATCAAAATAGTTGAATTTTGTAGAAGAATTTTTTTAAAATTACTTAAAACAATTGATTTTATGGGGAGAATTTTGTTGTTTATTAAAATAATTGAATTTTTTCAGAATGTCTAAAAAATTTTTGAAAATAATTGAATTATTGCAACGAATTTTATTATTTTATTGAATAATTGAACTTTTTTTAAAATTGAATTCATTCCTCAAGTTTTCAATAAAATTTTCAAGAATAATTACATTTTTCGAGGAATTCGATTAAAGTTGTATTAAAAATAGTTGAAATTCTATGATGAGTTTTATTCATGAAAATAATTGAATATCTGTGAAAAGTTTTATATTTTATGCCCAGAATTGAATGATTGCGAAGAAATTGATTTATTCGATGGATTTTATTAAAATTATTGAAAATAGTTGAATTCTTTTAAATAAGTTTTTTTAAATTCTTTCAAAATAATTGAATTATTTCGAAGAAATTTATTAAAATTTTCGAAAAAAGTATAATTCTTTCTTGGAATTCAATTAAAATTGTGTTGAAATGTTATCAGCAAATTTTATCTGAATAAAACTTTCAAGAATAATTACATTTTTCGAGGAATTCGATTAAGCTTGTATTAAAAATAATTGAAATTCTATGATAAGTTTTATTATTCATGAAAATAATTGAATCTCTGTAAAAAATTTTATTATTTGTGCAAATAATTGAATTATTGGCAAGAAAATTTATAAAAAAAATTTGTAAATAGTAGAATTCATGTGAAATTTATATTATTTATGAAAATAATTTAATGTTTGCTTAGAGTTTTATCAAAAAATTTTTAAAATAATTGAATTCTTTTGAAAAATTTGTTTAAAATAGTAGATATTGAAAATCATTGAATTGGGGAAAATTTTTGGAAATAATTGTAATTTTACCAAGAATTTTATTAAAATTTTTGAAAATAATTGAATTTTAGTGAAGAATTTTATTATTTTTAAAGATAATTAAAATTTGGACGAGAATTGTAATTTTTTCAACATAATTGAATTTCTGCAATCATTTGTAACTTTTCCAAAATTCAATTTTTTTCAGTACTTTAATAAAAACCCCTGACTTTTCCCTGATATCCCTGACCTGTGGCAACCCTGTAAAAGTACGAATAAAAATAAAATGAGTAAAAGTACAAATAAACAAAAAATGAATGAATCGAATAAAGACAATAAAATAAAAAATGAGGGTGTAAAACAGGAAAAAACGACAAACCTGAATATCCTCAAATCGTGTGCTGTCTCGCCTACGTTTTCGTAATTCACTTTCCTGATCATGTTCCCTGTCCCTCAAGTCCCTTAACTCCTTGACAACTTTCTCGTATTCATTAGGCCACATTGGATCATATTCATTAACAACATTCCAATCAAATTCACTCGAAATTCCAATATTATTCCCTCCTGAACTGACAAGAGGACTCGATATTACCTGCTCCTCCTCACGCTCTGTTTCCCTAGATTTCGACTTTAAATCAATTACAGGTGCCAATACTGCACTCGCTTTTCTATATTGTTCCCGTTTTGGCTGTAAATTCATCAATTATTATTATTTACAATTAGCCGATAAATTGTTTGTCTCAAAAAGAAAAGAATTGTAGGTTAGGAATTGCTTTCCTACCTGAGTTGTGGCCGCTTTTTTTAATTGTAATTGCGATTGAAGTAATTTTATACCAGACGACCAGCCGGCTACTTTTTCCGCGGCACGATGCTTATCAAAATCGTCGTAAAGTGACATTTTTATTCATTAACTGAAAAGAATTCGATTTACTTTTCAATGTTTTCAATCAAAGACAAAGTGACATTTTCAAGTTGACATGTCAAAGTTGACGACGCCATTATGGAAAATGACGTCACTGCTGAAATCTGATTTCTCATTGGTCGAAAAGTGACGCGCTTATTTTCAAAAAAATTCTACAAATATTCCTCCGCGCGTTTATTGATTTCACCAAATTATCCAAAAGTGTCGAAATTTCAACTCCCCGAATGTTCAAAACTCCGAAATTCAACTCCTCGAATGTTTAAAATTCAAAACCTCGAATATGTTCAAAATATAAAAAAAATTTTGGCGCGAAATTTGAATTTAATTTAGAATCGAAGATAAAAATAAGATATATTATAATAAATATAATAAAAATTATATAAATAAATAAATAAAAATATATTAAATATTAATAAATAGATTGGATTAATTTGATCGATAAAGCAGAATATAAAAGATGAAGCTGAGGTTATGTGATCGATTCATAGATGTCGCTAGTGAAAAATTCCATAGTTCCTACACTTCCCGCAGTTAAAAAGTAGATGGCGCTACTCAAATTCAAATAACTCTCACCTGATTGGCTAAAAGCAGAACGCGCGAATATTTGAAAATATTCTCGCAATTTTGAAAACTTTTTGAATTAATATTAATTTTTCTTTTTAAATATTTCAATTTTTAAAATTAATTTACTGAAAATCATTGAATTCTTGTAAAGTATTTATAAAAAAAATTTTAAATAATAAAATATTATGTCGAATTTAATTATTTTTAATAATTGTTATAAAATTCTTTAGTCAATTTTTAAATAATAAAAATTTTCGTAAATAAATTCAATTATTTTTATATAAATAATAAAATTCTTATCAGGATTTCACTTATTTTCAATAGAATTTTAATTAATTTCTTCGAAAATTTCAATTATTTTTAAAAAATCTCGTTAAAATTCTCCGAGAAAATTTCCATATTTTAAAAATAATTGAATTTTTCACAGTTCAATTATTTAAAAAACTTTTAATAAAATCCAATTAAAGAATTCAATTATTTTTAAAAATAATGAAATTTTCGCTGGAATTCAATTATTTTAAATACAATTTTAATTGAATTCTAGGGAAAATTAAATTATTTTTAAATATTTTCTTTTAAATTCTTCGAAAGAATTCAATAATATCAATAAATAGTAAATTAAATTATTTGTAGAAAATATAAATAAAAAATTTTTTTACAGGAATTCAATTATTTAAAAACGTTTTAATAAAATTCTTTTCAAGAATTCAATTATTAAAATTATTCATAGAAAATTAAATTCTTTTAAACAATTTTATTAGTTTTTGTAAATAATTACATTATTTTTTTTTTTTTTTTTTGAAGAATTTCTTTAAATTTCGTAAAAATAATGTAATTTTTAAAAATAATTTTAATTGGAAATTTTGAAAATAATTGAAATTTACAAAGAATTTTATTAAAAACTTTTGAGAACAATTGAATTGCTTAGAAAAATTTTATTACAATTTTTAAAAATAATTGAACCTGTTAGAAAAATTTTATTAAAATTGTATTTTGAAAATAATAATTTTAAATTAAAGGAAAAGGAAAAAAATTCATTTTTCGTTTTACGTTCATAAAAGAAGAAAAAGACAAATTTTTTATAAAAATGTGTTTTAATAAATACCAATAAAAATCTACAGTGATTACAAAGTTGAATAAAAAATTACAAATCCTGTTATTACGAATTAATACATTTTCAAGGACACGGTTTTTTTTCGTCCTTATTTTTTTTATTTTTTAATTCTTTTATTCCTTCAATAATATTTATTACTAGAATGAATTCTTAAATAATGTATAATACTTTGCATCGATAATAATAGAAAAATATTGTCACTTTTATTTTGCTTAGAAGCTAATGTGGTGCATTGAATGTTCTCTTTCTAAGCTACAAAAAAAGTACATAATCAGCTGAAGAAAAAATCAAAAAATCCCAACCAGAAGCTATTAGGTATGAAAAAACCAAAATTTGATGATTTCTTTTTGTTTTTCTTTGAATGAATTCCATCGGAAAATTACAAAAAAAAAAGAATCTAATTATCAAGGTACTTTTCTTCTTTTTTTTCCCCCTATCAGAAAAATGCATCACATAAATATTACTAAATTACTAGATAACAATATTGCCTGAGATTTGTATATTAAAAAACAAATTATTATTATTATTATTGTATGCAAAGAATTTGTACCCACAAAAATATTTTTCATATTATAAAATATTCTTCACAATTTCTAAAAAAGGTTTTCTACAAATTTTTTCTACAAAATGTTTCAAAAATTTTCTAAAATTTTTTACCGAAAGTTTTTACTAAAAGTTTTTTCCAAAAGTTTTTACCAAAAGTTTTTTTTTCCAAAAATTCCTTTCATACACAGAGAATTCGTCCATTTTGAGACATGAATTTTAAAATTTCGATGCAAGGAAGACAAAAATATTATTACATTGTCATTAATTATTCTATACGTATACATTTTGTTTGTTTTTTTTAACCAGCTCGCAAAACTTTCAAATTCTACGCTATAAGAAGAGTAGAAATGAAAAAAAATTATCTATACAATAATTATTTTTTGGAAAAAAAGTTTTCATAGAAAACGCGACAATTTGAAAGTCCGAGTGGTTTAATATTGTCAGACATGTATAAAAACAATTTTTCTTTTAAGATTAATTTATATAAATATTATTATAGGCCTTTGAATTGTTTTATTGATAGAGACTCAAGAATAAGAGTCGGTATCAATTTTTTTACAGTCATTTCGATAAGGAATCGATGTGAAAATATTTTATTCGTGACAATTTGAATTTATAAATGTTTTCCTACTATTTTGATTTTTATTTCCTTATTTTTCTATTTTTTTCATTTTTTTTATTGTTCCTATTAACATTGTTTTTTACCATTTTTAAATTTTTACTCTCCGAAGGAATGAAAAAAAGTGTTATTTTCTGATTCTTTTGAATTTCGAGTCGCAGGCCTCGGAACAAATTTTAGGCGTAAAACAATTGTTTTTAATTTATAAATTTTAATTAATAATAAATTATTATTTTCAAATTTTATTTTAAAAATGTCCTAAATGGAACCGAGGAAAAATTTGTTTTATTTTAATTTTTGGAATAATTCTCAAGAATTATTTATTATTATTATTCTTGAAAAATATTCATTATTATTTTTAAGAAATTTTAATTTCAAAATTTCAGAATTAAATTCAGACAAAATTCATTTTTGTATTTAAAACTAACTTTCAAGATTATTTTAAAAGAAATTTTATTCTAAAAATTTCAAATCTGACCTGAGTCAAATCAAATCAATTCAAAATTAGTAAAAAAATTTTCTAATTATTATTAGAATTTAACTAATTTTTTAGAAGTTAAAAATTCTTTTACTAAAGTTTTAAAGTGAAAAGTTGATAAAAATTAGTAGAAAATACTTATTTAAATTTTTTGTCAACTTTTCATTCAGATTTAAAATTAGAAAGAAAGAAATTTGCGAGTTAAAGTAATTTTTAAAATAGAATGAATTTACAAAAAGGAAAAATTGTCTAACGAAAAAATAAATTTTGAAAAATATTTTTTTCAAAATTTTTTAAATTCATAATTGAATAAATTTTAATAATTTCACTTTTTAAGGTCAAAAAATTTAAATTTTTAAAAATATTTATTTAAAACATTTTGAAATTTATTAATTTATAAAAATTATTTAAATAATAATTTGCATTATTTATCAAAATTAATTGAATAAAATTTTTAATTATTTATAAAGGAAATTAAACTAAAATTCAATTATTCATCAAAATAATTGATTGAAAATTCAATTATTTTTCTAAATAATTGAATAATTTTTTATTTACAAGTAATGTAACAAAATAATTGAATAAAAATTCAATTATTTAGAATTTAATCTATTCAATTTATTTAGAAAAATTCAATTATTTTTCTAAATGATTGAATAAAAATTCAATTATTTTTCTAAATAATTGAATAAAAATTCAATTATTTTTCTAAATAATTGAATGGAAATCCAATTATTTCTCTAAATAATTGAATGAAAATTCATTTACTTTAAAAATTCAATTATTCATTAAAATAATTGAATGGAAATTCAATTATTATTCTAAATAATTGAATAAAAATTCAATTATTTAGAATTTAATTCAATTAAATTTATTCAGAATAATTCAATTATTTTTCTAAATAATTGAATGAAAATCCAATTATTTCTTTTAATAATTGAATGAAATTTAATTTACTTTAAAAATTTCAAAATTATTCGTAAAATCTAACACTTTTGAAAGTCAATTTATTACAAAAAAACTAATAAAATAAAAATTTCGAGGCCTGCACTCTATAAACTAATGAACTTTTTTACTAATAACAATAATTGTTATTAATTTTTATTAACAGAAATTCATAGTAATTATTATTAATGAAATTTAATAATTTCTTTTTAATTTCTGCATAAATTGTATTATTTTTAAATTTTCTATTTGGAATAGATTCTATTAAAAATTATAGATTTTTTCTAATAGAGAGAGAAGAGTAAAAATCTCTTACTTTAAAATCAAATTGTCAGGAATAATCTATTTTTTCCACACAGATAATCAAAATCGATTTTTTTTTCGATAAATAATAATAATATAAATAGAAAAGATAAAAAAAATTACTTTTTTTCTTTTTTTCCTTAGAGAGAGAGAGAGAAAGAAAATTTTGGCAGAACTAGACTAAAGCTTCCGCATGATAATGATGATAATGATGATGAATATGTTCGTGAACGTGTTTTTGTCCAGCGGCCGCGGCGGCTGCTGCCGCTGAATTCTGCGAGAATTCACGTTCCAACCAACGAACAACTTGCGCCATTGCCCTCGCTTGATCCTGTTCCCTTGTTGCGTGTTTCAATTGATGTTTCTTACTCCCCTTATTACCAGTGATTGGCGACTGTATATGTTGAATGTCATTTTTCAAATTGTTCGCCTGTGCAAAGGCATTATTTTTATTGATTATTTGCTGTGCAACTTGGGCGACGTGACGTGTCGCTGCGTTTTGTTGGAGAACTTGCGCTTGGATTTGCGAATGCACGTTACTTTTTGGCGAGCTGACGGGTGTGTTTCGCGGTGCATTTGGATGATTTCCCCTTGTTTTCCTTCCGTTTGCCTTTGATTTTGTTGGCACTTTTGTTGTGAATACTGGTTCTCGATTTGGTTTATGATAGGCGGTCGAATGTCGATGCGTCGTCGTGAACTGCCTTTGTGTATAGGGACTCGGCGGCTCTGCATAGGGACTTCGAATAGGTAATTGTTCATTCTGGTGGTGCTTCCTGACAAAAGAAGATATTGACTTTAATTGAGAATTCGTATTATTGATTGTGGGAATTAATTGAATTTTAAATTGGAATTATAATAAAGAGTTTAAAATTCATTACCTAGAATTATTAACACCAAGATTATTTTTTTCCATATTCGCTTGAATTATTTCGAACAGTTGTTGTCGTTGCATTGCCGCGCTTCGTTTTCGATGATTTGATACAAGGGGTGTCAATGGTGTGAGGGTTGGCGAAATGTCACTGGCTTCACTTACATCGCCCTCGGAACTGTTTGAATAGGGCGAAATGAGATGGGGTACCGGCCCTACTCTTCTTCGTAGCTCTTCTTCCTTTGATGGATTTGTGGGAACGTTCTCCGCGTCTTCGTCACTTGGATTTTTCACCGGTTGCTCCGACTGAAAGTAAAAAGGAAAAAGAAATGAATTCAGTGCAAGAAAAAATATAAATTCAATATTTTTTGAAAGCCATAAAATTATATATAAATAAAACCAAAAACATCTTTTATTTATAAGAAAAAATATAGTTATATTTCTCTCAAATTCTAAGTTACAGGCTTCGGATTGACTTTAAGGCGCAAAAAAAGTCGTTTTTAGTCGATTCAAATACGGAAAAAGTCAAAAAGTCGAAAAGTCGTTTATTTTATTCAAACTTGTCAGAAAAAGTTAATTTTCCATTTCCCTGATGTCCAGAAAATGTTTCCACTGTTTCCCTTATTTCCATAATATTTAACTTAAATTCCAAGTTTTTGTAAATTCAATTACTTTCAAATAAATTTATCACATTTTTCGTATTTTTCTGCATAAACACAATTGTGTTTCAAATTTTTATAACTGCAATAAAATTCTCCAAAAAAAAATTTTTTATAAATTTTAATAAAAATTACAATAAAATTCCATAAAATACAAGATTTATTTAATATAAAATTTAAGGAGACTTTCAATTGCTTGAAAATTCGCTTCAATTAATTATTCTCGGGAATTCATTGTAATTAAAATTCTTCTGAAATTTATTGTTTTCTATTATTTTTGAATTTAAATAATTGAATTCTCGAAGAATTTTAGAAACTTTTTTTGAAAATAACTGAATTTTTATAAAAGAATTTAGAAAATTTAGATCAATTTAGAAAATATTTGAAATTTGAAAATAATGAAATTTTGGGTAAATCAAGTATTTTTAAATTTTTAATTGAAGTTCTTCAACAATTTTATTATTTTCAAATATTTTCTAAAAATTCTTTTACAAAACCAATTATTTTCAAACAATTTTACTAAATAAAAAAAAGAAAAAAAAAGAAACTTCTTTGAACTCTTTTATCTTTTTAAATTGATTAATATTAAGTAATTGAATTTTCGAAGAAATTGTGAAAAAAATTATTAAAAATATTTGATTTTGAAAAGAGGTTTGGATAAAAGAATTTTTCTCGGGAATTCAATTATCTTCAGAAAATTTTAATTAAAATTTTTCAAAAACCTAATTTTTCTCAGAATTTCTAAATTAAAAATATTTTTAAACTTGAATAATTTTGTAAAATAAATATTTAAATCAGTTATTTATTTTCTCACGGGAATATTAAATTTTCCAAAATTTAAATTTAAATTTTTCAAAAATCTACTTTTTCTCCGAATTTTGAAATTTAATTCTTCTAAACTTGAATAATTTTGTTAAATGAATATATTTAAATACTTATTTCATTTTGTCACGGCAGCATTAAATTTTTAAAAATTTCAATTTAAAAACTACCAAAATAGCAATTGTTACAAAATTAAATTATTTTTCTAAAGTTTTTAACTAAAATTAAAGAAAAAATTCGATTTTTTTTAAAATAAATATTTAAATATTATTTAAATTCTACAGCATAGAAATTTCAATTTCAAACATTCTGTTAAATATTCCTAAAAATTACAACTGTAACCCAACCAAAATTTAATTATTTTCTAGAAATTTTAACTGAAATTCGACTCTAAATCAATTATTATTATTTTTAACAATTTTCCAAAAGTTTCTCAAGAATAATAAATAATAATTGAATAATTAATTAATATTTTAAATTAAGGTGAATTATTGAAAATATACCAACAGAAAATATTGAAAATATTTTATTTTTAAAAACTTATAATAAAAAAATTCTATTAATTAATTTTTCTCAAAAAATACTTTAAAAAAATCAATTATTTTCAATAAAATTTTTAAAAAATTTCAATTATTTCGAAATTATTAAAAATATTTGACCGAAAATATTGAAAATTAATTTTTAAAAAATTGTATTAAAAAAATTCTTAAAATCAGTTTTTTTTTAAATATTTCTCATTATTTTTTTAAAAGATAATTTTTTTTATACAGAATTGACAAATTTCCAAATATTTTATAACAAGTGTTTTTTTATAAAGAATTAAATTTTTTAAAAGACTTTTTGTAAAATATTTTTAAAAATAGCTATAAGTTTTCAAAGAATATTTATTAAAAATATAAAAATAAAAGATTTTTTCAAGAATTTAAAAATAAATCCAAAAAAATCGATTTTTAAAAAAGTTTACTTTTCTCTTTCTGCAAAAATAAAAATTGAATCTTCGTAATTATGTATTGAAAATAATTGTATTTTAAATTTTTGAGAATTTAATTATTTTCCAAATTTGCAATTTTAAATTCTTCGAAATTTGATTTTCAGAAATCTTAGAAAAAAATACTTGAGAAAAAAGCAAAAATTTTTTTTTTTAGAAAGAATTCTGTTTTAAGCGCTAAAAGGCTTGAAAAAAAAATTATGACACTATAATTACTTTTTACAGTATAAAAATCGAAAAAAGTGGTTTTTTGTTGTAATATTTGGAAGATAAGTCGATAAAGTCCCATTTTTTGAAAATAGGTCGAGAAAATGCGTCTTTCTTTAAATCTGTTGCAATATTTGGAAAAGAAGTCGAAAAAGGCGCATTTTTCGAAAATAAGTCGAGAAAATTCGTCTTTTTTGAAATTCGTTGCAATATTTGTAAGAAAAGTCGAAAATGACGCATTTTTTGAAAATAAGTCGAAAAAATTCGCCTTTCCTGAAAACAATCGCAATATTTGGAAAAAAAGTCGAAAAAGACCCATTTTTTCGAAAATAAGTAAAAAAAATACGTCTTTTTTGAAATCAGTTGCAATATTTGGAAGAAAAATGGTGAAAGTCGCCCTTTTTGAAAATAATTTGAAGAAAATTCGTCTTTAGTATATTTAAAAAGATAAATAAAATGAAAAAATAAATAAATAAATATTGTGCCCACCTGAAAACGATGTCGAGGTGCTCTTCTTCGGCGATGAGTCCTGTGAGATGAGACTTGATTAGCGTGACTGCATGGATCGACGTGTGTCACATGACAGCAGGGGGAATTTCGATTTTGACTCGAAGTGGTTTTTGGCGTTCCTTGAGTCGTTGTTCGTTGATCGGGCGAAACAGTGAGTTTTACTTTAATTTGCCCGCACGATGGTGCTTGAATTTTCGATCCAAGAGTATCGTAAATTGCCTTCACAAGACCTGCAATGTCGTCCTTTGATATTCTCCCGTGGCCGTCGACTCCATAGAGGGTGAAGGAAAATTCCTGCCTTCTGCCTCCTCCCTCCGCCACCGAGACATCGCACTCGAATTCCTATTCAACAAGAAAAACAAAAATACGTTATTGCATTATCAACAATATTCAAATCAATTCATTCTCTTATACTTAATATTACTTTTCACTTTTTACTTCCTTTTTCCTTATTTTTTTCTTTCTTCTTACTTTTTATTTTTTATTTCTTACTTTTTACTTCCTTTTTCCTTATTTTTTACTTTTAACTTCTTTTTTTCTTACTTTTTACTTTGTAATTCTTTTTTTTTGTTTTTAATGTTTACTTTTTACTTCTTACTTCATTTTTTATATTTCAGGGTTTGAACCAGTAAAAGTATTTAAAAATACGGAATTTGCTAAAATTCTTCTTTAAATCGATTATTTTTAATAATTTTCGAAAAAGTTCTTTGACAATTTTCAAATCCATTTGTTTACAATCTTCAATTTTACAAAATTTCAATTATTCGTAAATTCTTCAATTAAATATATATTAGAAAATAAAAAACTTAAAATAATATAACAAAAATTCAATTTAACTTTTTTAAAAAATTAATGTCAAAATTCAATTATTTCGAAAAATTCGCGCTATATTGCTTTTAATATTCAATTATTATCTAAAATTTTAACTGGAATTCATTTTTAAATCAATTTTTATTATTTTGAAAATAGAATTGAATTTCGCAGATTTTATTAAAATAATTGAAAATAATTTAATTTGTACGAAGAATTTTATTATTTACGAAAATAATTGAATTTCTAAAAGGAATATTATAATTTACGAAAATAATTAAATCCGTGTAAAAATTTTATTATTTATGAAAATAATTGAATAATTGCGAAATTTGGAAAATCATTGATTAAGGAAAATTTTTTTAAATAATTGAAATTTTGTCGAGAATTTTATTAAAATTTTTGAAAATAATTGAATTTCTGCAAATAATTTGTAACTTCTCCAAAATTAAATTTTTTTTAGTATTTGCAAAAAAAGTTTTTCTGTAAATCCATTATTTTAAATAATTTTTAAAAAAAATTTTTGAAAATTTTCAAATGTATTTGTTTTTTACTGAAATTTATTGTTAAATCAATTTTTATTAGAAAAAATGTTATTATTTATGAAAATAATTGAATGATTTAGAAGAAATTTATAAAAAAATTTGTAAATAAATGAATTCCTGTGAAATTTTTATTTAATGAAAATAATTAAATGTTAACGTAAAAATTTATCAAAATTTTTTTAAATAATGAATTTTTTTGGTATATTTTATTCAAGTAATAAATATTGAAAATCATTTAATTGAGAAAAATTTTTGAAAGTAATTAAAATTTTGCCAAGAATTTGATTAAAATTATTTAAAATAGAATTGAATTTCGCAAATTTTATTAAAATAATTGAAAATAATTCAATTTTTTTTTACTAAAATTGTGTTGAAAATAATTGAATTTGTACGAAGAATATTATTATTTACGAAAATAATTGAATTTCTACGAAGAATTTTATTATTTACAAAAATAATTAAATTTGTATACAAAGAAATTTTACTATTTACAAAAATAATTGAATGTTTGCGCAGAATTCAATTATTTATGAAAATAATTGAATTTGTACGAAGAAATTATATTATTTACAAAAATAATTGGATTTTTGCGCAGAATTTAATTATTAAATAAAAATAATTAAATTCTTGCAAAGAATTTATTTATTTATGAAAGTAATTGAAATTTTGAAAATGTTATTAAAATTTTTGAAAATAATTGAATTTGTACAAAAAATTTTATTATTCACAAAAATAATTGAATTTCTACGAATAATTTTATTATTTACAAAAATAATTGAATTTTTGTGCAGAATTCAATTATTTATGAAAATAATTGAATTTTTACGAAGAAATTACATTATTTACAAAAATAATTTGATTTTTGCGCAGAATTTAATTATTAAATGAAAAGAATTTAATTCTTCTGTGGAATTTATTTATTTATGAAAATAATTGAAATTTTGAAATGAAAAGAATTGAATTCTTCTGTGGAATTTATTTATTTATGAAAATATTTGAAATTTTGAAAATGTTATTAAAATTTTTGGAAATAATTGAATTTCTACAAATAATTTTATTATTCACAAAAATATTGAATTTCTACGAATAATTTTATTATTTACAAAAATAATTGAATTTTTGTGCAGAATTCAATTATTTATTAAAATAATTGAAATTTTACATATTTTATTCTAATTTTTGAAAATATTTGAGTTTTTACTAAAATTGTGTTGAAAATAAATAAAGAATTGAATTTCTACGTAGAATTTTGTTACTTTTGAAAATAATTGAATTTCTGCGAAGAATTTTATTACTTTTGAAAAGTAATTGAATTTCTGTAATCATTTATAATTTCTCTAGAATTCTCCAAATTATATCGTACAATTTAAAAAACTTTCGTTCGCTTTTAATCAAATTACGGATTTTACGGACTTTTTTTTAAAAACAGACTTTTACGGACTTTAAGCAAATTTACGGACCTAGTTCGAGTCTTGTTATTTTTAACTTCCAACTTAAAAAAAAATTTCTCAACACCAGAAAAATTCTCAAAAAAATTTCCCTTCAATTCAAAACAGTGAATAATTACGAAACAATAAAACTCGAAACAAAAATGCTTCCACCATTTCCCTTTAGGCAGAGATATTAAATCATAAATCAAGAATCGTTTTTTGTTGAACTCAGCATTTAAAATTGAAGGATATTTACCTCGAAGCTAAGCTGCCGAGTGGGATTTGAATTCGTTTGCTCTTCATTGGTAGCTGGAGGCGTTGGAGAAACGGGGGTGTTAACTGCAGGTGGTGGAGATTCAGATTGTCGGTGATGGGGTGGCGGCGGTGCTGGTGGCGGTGAACTATTGCAAGGTATCGCGTCATTTCGCAACAGTAATTCAGAATCACTTCCGTCTGCACTGCCTCCAACGACTGTAAAAAACAGAAAAAGAACCAAGATTAACATTTAATTTATATTTTATAAACTGCAATCAAAAATTAAAAATATTCAATTAAAATCAACCATTAAAATCATCTTTAATGCGAGTCTTTACAAATAAGGAAATCTAATTAATTCACAACCCATTGTTGTCTACAGCACTATAAAGGCACATTCTATAATCAACACAAGATTGCGACTCAAAAAATTGCCGAGGGGGAAAATCACAAAGGGATTTTTTCGTCCTTAAAATAATAATCAATCTTTGTAATTATCTTTATGGATTCTTATTTTTTTGTATAAAAAGAATTGGTGAGCAATTTGTTATTATTATGAAAAATACAAAGATTTTTATTTTTAAATATCAGCTGAAGTTATTAATTGAAAGTGGAAATAGAATAATTAAATTCTTCGCAAAAATTTTCAATTTATTTTGTAAATAATTAGAATTCAATTATTTTCATAAATAATTGAATTGAGCGTAAAAATTCAATTATTTTCAACACAATTTTAGTAAAAACTCAATTATTTTCAAAAATTTTAATAAAATATGTAAAATATCAATTATTTTCATAAATAATTGAATTATGCGCAAAAATTCAATTATTTTTGAAAATAATAAAATTTCTTTGTACAAAATTCAATTATTTTTGTAAATAATAAAATTATTCGTAGAAATTCAATTATTTTTGTGAATAATAAAATTCTTTGTACAAATTCAATTATTTAAAAATATTTTAATAACATTTTCAAAATTTCAATTATTTTCATAAATAAAGAAATTCTTTACAAGAATTCAATTATTTTTGTAAATAATAAAATTCTTCGTAGAAATTCAACTATTTTTGTAAATCTTAGTAAAAAATTCAATTATTTTCAAAGCAATTTTATTGAAAAATTCAATTATTTTCAAAATTGTTCAAGAAATTTGCAAAGTTTCAATTATTTTCATTAGATAATTAAATTCTTAACAAGAATTCAATTATTTTCGTAAATATTAAAATTCTTTGTACAAATTCAATTATTTTTAACACAATCTTACTAGAAACTCAATTATTTTCAAAAATTTTATAAAATATGCAAAGTTTCAATTATTTTCAAAAATAATTGAATTCTGCACAAAAATTAAATTATTTTTGTAAATAATAAAATTTCTTTGTACAAAATTAAATTATTTTTGTAAATAATAAAATTCTTCGTACAAATTCAATTATTTTCAAAAATTTTAATAACATTTTCAAAATTTTTATTATTTTCATAAGTAAATAAATTCTTCATAAGAATTCAATTAATTTCATAAATAATTAAATTCTTCGCAAGAGTTCAATTCTTTCCATAAATAATAAATTCTGCGCAAAAATTCAATTATTTTTGTAAATAATAAAATTTCTTTATACAAATTGAATTATTTCCATAAATAATAAATTCTGCGCAAAAATTCAATTATTTTTGTAAATATTCAAAATTTCTTTGTACAAATTCAATTATTTTTGTAAATAATAAAATTCTTCGTCCAAATTTAATTATTTTCAACATAATTTTAGTAAAAAAAATTGAATTATTTTCAAAAATTTTTATAAAAATTTGCAAAATTTCAATTATTTTCATAAATAATTAAATTCTTCGGACAAATTCAATTATTTTCAAAAATTTTAACAAAATTTGGCAAAACTTCAATATTATTTTTTTCATAAATAATTAAATTTTTATTTGCAAGAATTCAATTATTTTCATAATAATAATATAATTTTTCCCATGATTCAATTATTTATAAGAAATTATTATTTTTAATACAAAATTTGAATGAAATTCCTGGAATGAATTCAATTACTTTCCAAAATTGTAAAAATATTCTTTGCAGGATTTCGATTATTTTCTAAAATAATTTTAATAAAATTAATTACAAGAATACAATTTTAATAAAATTTCTAAATTTAATTATATTTAAAAAAAGTTTTAGTCAAATTCTTCGAATGAATTCAATTACATATGATTAAATGTTATTAAAATTCCTTAGTTGAATTCAATTATTTTTAATACAATCTATAAAAAATTCCTAGTGAAAATTGAAATAAAATTCTTTTTTTTTCATTAAATTATTTTTTTGTTATTAGTTTTTATAATTCAGTAAGAAACTATTCAAAAATAATTAAATCAAAAAAGAAAGAAAAATCAAAGTAAAAAACGAGCTTTATATAAAAAGAAAAAGAAAAAAAAAGAAATTAAAAAGAAAGGAATAGAGAATAAAAAATTAAAAAAAGAAAACAAATAAAACGAAAATTAAGAAAAGATTTTTTCTTTAATTTTTGATGAATGAAAAAAATGAAAGGAGAATTTAAAAAATGCCATTGAAGAAATTGGAGTTGTTTGACAATGTGTTACAAATTACGAATTCGACTGAAGAATATAGGAATTGACGGTGCTTTACAATGAGAATTCAGTTAGTCTAAACAGACTGTTAGATAAGTACATTGGGTATAGTAAACATTCGAGCAAAATCGACTGTGTTCATATATAACATTGCGTATGTATTTATATGTACGCTTCCAAGTCTCACTATCAGTATTTTGCTCACGTATAAAGCTTATTAGTGAATGAACATTCTCCAAACGTTGATTGCAAACGTGCCGACACCTCATTTTTTTCCCTCCTATTATTATACTATATACATATATATACGCCGTCACGATAACAATTTTCATTGAAAATTATATTTCCCAATCGCTAAAAATAATTTTCCCTATAAATTCCATTTTCTCTTCAATTTCATATTCACAATTTTTTCACACTTTTTTTATAAGTAATTTAGACATTTTTTAAATTTTTCTATTCATTTTCACATTTTTTCCTGTCAATTTTCCTATCCGTTTTCACAATCTTTACAGTTTCCTATTCATTTCCTAAAAAAAAATATTCAAAACGTTCACAATGATAGATAGAGAAAAAATGTCACATTCTGTTCACCATATGTTATATTCATTCCCATCTGGCATTAAAAAGAAAGCATTCTCTAAAAATTTCCAAATTTGGAAAATATCTTTTCTTTCGGGGAATATTAGAAATTGTTTTCTTTTGTCTGAATTTTTGTCTTTGCGTCGATAAAATAATAATAACTAGGGAGTGTTAGTATAACTAAACTAATAATTAAGAAGCATAGTTACTCCGAAATAATCTCAGAACGAAAGAATATAATTTTTAACGCAAACGAAAATATAATATAAACTTGAAATTAGTTTTGAAGAAACTATTTTTAAACTATTCGAAAGAAATCAAGTCGGATTCAAAATCTTTTTTCAAATAATAATTTATATATTTTTTTGATAATTATTTCTTAAATTTTTCTTTCAGCTCGAACAAAAATTGCAATTTTTATCGAATTTTTCGTAAACATTGACTTATTTTGCTCAAAAATTTTCCAAATTATTCAATGAATATTGTCAGTGAGATATTCGATGCAATTACAATTATTTTAATAATTATTTATGTAAAATTATTGCAATAATTATTTTAGTAATATTATCGCAATAATTATTTCAGTAAAATTATATACAATAATTATTTTATTAAAATTATCTCAATAATTATTTTAGTGAAATTATCGCAATAATTATTTTTGTAATTATTCTAATAATTATTTTTAGTAGAGTTAAAACTATTTTCTATAATAATAATTTAAAAATTTTCTTTCTTAAGTCAGAATTCAATTATTTTTCATACAATTAAAGTATAAAAATTCTATTATTTTCCAAAAGATTATAAAAAATTTTCGCAAAAATTTAACTATTTTCAAAATAATAAAATTCTTCACACGAATTCATATATATTCATACGTAGTTAAATTCTTAGCAAAAATTCAAATATTTTTGTAAATAATAAAATTCTTTGTACAAATTGAATTATTTTCAACACAATTTTATTACAAAATTCAATTATTTTCAAAAATTTCTAATTATTGCAATAATTTTACAAACATAATTATTGCGATAATATTACTAAAATAATTATTGTAATAATTTTACTGAAATAATTATTGCAATAATTTTACATAAATAATTATTAAAATAATTTTAATTTTATCGAATATTTCAATTATTTTCATTAAATAATTAAATTCGCAAGAATTCAATTCTTTTCATAAATAAAAACCTTTCATGAACGAATTTAATTATTTTCAATACTATATTTTAGTAAAAAATTCAATTATATTCTAAAATTTTAATAAACACCTTTGCAAGTATTTAATTATTTTTGCAAATAATAAAGTTCTTCGTATAAATTCAATTATTTTCAATACAATTTTAGTAAAAAAACTTCAATTATTTTCATAACTAATAACATTCATGAACGAATTTAATTATTTTCAATACACTTTTAGTAAAAACTTAAATTATATTCTAAAAAATTAGGGGAAAAAAACGTTTTGCGCAGAAGACAATATTTTCTTATTTTATTTTATTATTTATTCATTTATGACTTTTTAATTTTATTTTTGATTTTATTAATGATTTCAAACTGTAATATTTTTTTCTTTTAACTTATATTGATCAGAAAATTTAGATCTTATTTGCGTTAAAAATTATTTTTTACTTTTAAAGTTTATAAATTTCAAATTATTTTTTCCAATTTCTTTTGTGAAAAACTAATATAAGAAAAGATTAAATTCTGATTTGAAAACTTTTGAAAAACCAGAGGGAAAAGTTTTGAAAAATAATTGAAATTTAGAAAGAATTTTATAAAAATCTTTTGAGAATAATTGAATTTTTGGGAAGAATTTTACAATTTTTCTTAAGAATTTGATAAAAACTGTTGACAATAATTGTAATATTTTTAAAAATAATTGCATTCTTTCGAAAAATTTTATTAAAAGTTCTATTGAAAATAATTATTAGTTCCTGTAAAGAATTTTATTATTTATGAAAATAATTGAATTTTTTAAAGAAATTAATTAATTTTTTTAAAAAATAATGGAATTCTTTTGAAAAATTTTATCAAC